TTGCATCTATCGGGAACTACACATGAATCATAGTTGTGGCGTTAATAGTACAATCATGTAGATGCCGTACAATACCTGGTTGATTAACTAATCAACGATGTAGGAGTTTTCACATTCGAAATAACGGCCAAGTCTGACCGTTGCATTAAAAAGATTCAGAAGATCAATGATGGATTGTAAGACACTGCTACAATGGTTGAAATGTAATAGATTGTTCTAATAATCTAGATGTAACGTAAAATATCGGTTAATTTTAATAACATGGATGATTCTAAAAAGCTACTTAACATCGAAAGTTATGGTGGCTTGCTATCAACTTATGGTTACCCGAATTATATAAATATGACAAACATATAATTATGACATACTGAAGCGAAACTAAAATAGTATCCAAGATATAAATTATGATATAATGAAGCGATATCCTTTTATATCGTTAGGATTAAGTAGTAAAATCTCATGAAGGCTAATCGCAAAAAGTCTACAGTTCTTGCGCTACTTCAAAACAGCAAACATTTTGATCAAATGACATGCTCTGTCAAAATATAATGATGTTTTCTCACCTGAGGAGGTGATATCACAGGTCCGGGTGTAGCCGGTTGACTATTAGGTCCATTTGAACCTGTTCCATTGCTCGAAGCAGCACTTGATCCCTGTTGCGGTTGCTGCTGTGTTGATGCTGTTGCTACTACAAATGATAAATAATAACCAATTTTTTAAATAATTCAAAATTTAAAAACCTTTAGTATGAGAAGATAGATCTAGAAATTTCTTAATTTGTCCACTGCAATGATAATTAAATTTGGTCACACTTATTTCGAAATAGATACAAGATAATAAATTGGTTGTTGTGCATCAATTTATATATTTCTTGCACTTACCAGTATAATCTATAGCCGGATGAGATTGCGGCAAACGAGATATCATGTAATTCTGAAAAATATTATTAGAATAAACGAACTGTAACTATAGATAATCGGGCAATATCAACCTATAGCGAACTATTATATCTACACATAATTTGTTTTGGTACTTTTACTATAGACTCATTGTCGTGTAAGCAGATATGAAAACATGATTACAAGAACCATGTCTCTAAAGAATCGAGTTGGGCAATTGTTTTTTGAATAAGATTATATGATCGAATGGTCATTTCATTTCAATATCTGTTATATTGAAGCTAACAAAACATACGACGGAATGATCGCCTTGATAAAGTTGTCGTGGAAAACTAGTCTGCTGTTGAGTTTGAGCCTGCAAAATAGATTTTTCTTTCAATGGATGAAAATGCCTAACATAAGTAAATATTCGATATTAGGTTCAAAACATTTGCCACCTTAAATCAGTTTTGATTATCCTATCACGATGTATAAATAATATACGAACAATATCAATTTATAGTAAAACAATGAAACAATACCAAGCATACTCGCTTTTCACACACTTCAGTCTTTTTAAAATGTCAGATCACTAGGACCACCCATTTCTAACGTAATGAAGCTGATGATATTGTTATACTAACACACAGGAGCACTAAAACCAAACATTTGCTTCTCTTTTACTGACCTGTATAATTTGATAAGGTGGAGGAGCCGTGAGTATCGCGTTTGTGGATGGAGGCGGAATCGGTGGTGGCGGGATATTAGATGAAGCTCCAATTGAGAGCTGTGATGGATACGGTGCAAAATACGGCATCTAAAAAGAAAAATGACTAATATAGGAAAACAAGCACTGAAGAATATTTAACGACATATGAGGCAAATTCAAACAAATAGATTTTAAAATGAAGTTTAATTTGAACGACAGATATATAATTTAGTGAAGACGTAAACAGACTTCGATTTGAACTTAGTAAACAGTAAACACTAAATATTGCGGACTTTTCCCAAACTTACAACTTTAAAAAGTTTGACATAGATTTATTGCGTTTTCAGCTTTCATTGAACATGCAGCATAAATTTCGCACTAGAACATTATCATCTGTAAATGACTGCTAAACAATCAACATATCCAAACTGTTGACCTGATACTGTGACATCAGTTGTTGAGTGTATGGTTGACTTGCTCCAGGAACATACATACCAGCGACACCTTGCATGAATTGTTGCTGTTGATTTCGCCGATTAGTTGAAGGTGTTTGTCCAGCCATTTGTCCATGACGACCAAGCGGCAAACCGGCAGTACTCGCAACAATTGGACCACCCGTAACACTCGCTGCTGCAGTTGCTGTTGCTGCAGCGGCACCTGGCGTACTCTGGAATTTTTCACATACTTCCATATTCAGATAAGAATGAAACGATTGAATAGAAGTATCTTTTTTCTTCGGAAACTCAAATTCACTCCAACGAAACAAATACTCTTGTTAAATGTGAAAAATAAGTTTCTACTGAGTAATGCTTGAGATTAAGAGTTGCAGATTTCTTTGAATTTTAATAAGTTTGATCACAATTTAAGAAGATATACTTGCACAACTGGTGGGTTGTAATAAACCGGCATGGCAGCACCGTACGCGTTAGCATGCGCATATGGGAACATTTGTGGTGGTCCGGCATGCGCAATTGACGGCACATTCTAAAGTATGATAAAAATTATTTTTATTAAATAATTCTTATCGATCTATCACACTTCCTAACTTTCACTTATTATCACTTAAGCCAAAATCAAAAATGTCAACTTTAACCTCTAAACTATCAAATTAATAAATGAGGAAACACAATGATTTCGGTGAATTAACAAGTAGCAATGAAAAAGCTGCTCTTATTAAATCAGTAATAAAACATTCGGACCTTGTCATTTTATATTATATTATATAAAAGTTCGAAACAGTGCAAGATTTTACCTGAACAGATAAGGCTTGTGGATTGGCAAGAGCCAAACCTTGAATTTGTCCTGGTGCAGCGATGTGAGTTGACATGAGTGGTAATGGTGCAGCAGGGGGTGTTCGAATACTGTGCAATGTTGGACGATGGTTTTGCGATTCATTATTGCGGTAATTAATTAAACTGCGAGGGACAAATGATGGTGCATCCGGATTCCAAACAAAATGCTTTCTGAAATCTGATAAATATCATTTTTCTGCTCTCATTTAATGAAATAATTGTTCACTGTTAATCTGAAATCACACCTCTCATCACTTTATTTCGATCCAAGCATCGCGTTTGGAGACCGATTATATTGAAATGAAAATCTGCATAACATACCCATCTGACGTCGTCGTTATAGAATTTGCTGCAGTCGTTTTCGCAGTATCAGCAACTGCAGCACTTGGTGTCGGATCGGTAGGTGCTATAGATGACGATGATGCTGCAGCAGACAACTGATTCGTTTGCTGAATTTCCCGCGCCGTAATAGACGTAGCCATAGTTTGTGTATCTAAAACTACACCTCCTGTTGCTTCTGTATTAGGTGTTGTCGTATCAGATCCAAGAACAGTGGAACATGTTGGTTTGTTTGAACGACATTCGGGAACTGCCGTTGGTGTCACATCTGTTGTTATTGAGCGACCTGAAACTGAACTGTACACTTCATTTTATTTGTTTATAACGAAGAAATAAAAAATAGACGAATTTAACAGCCAAATAAATCTAACTAGTACAACAAAATTCAGATACCAGAAGTCACTGTCGTTTGTAGAGATCCTAGAGTTTTGACGATCCCTTGCTGAGATCGCTGATCTGAACATGGTGAACACGATGCTGCTGTTACTGCCACAGATGCCGATGTTTCCACATCCTTAGCAGTTGAAATTTCTGTAATTCAGTTAATCCTGAGTATTGGCCTTCATTTATGAATAATTATGCAAACAAAGCCATAATGAAAACTAAGCAAAAGTGCTTGAATAAACTGAACCTGGACGATGATTTGAAACTATTTGCATTGACGAAGATTGAGCCCGCATACCAGGAGGAGGTCCTTTATTCCAAGCATTATTAATAGGCCTTGGTGCCACTCCAGATGTTGTTGTTCCTTGCACAATGTTCGCACGCTAAAAATACTATGTATCTAGCATTAATTTTACTACACCAAATCTCCCACAAAAACCTTCAAAACTTGTGCAATATCCCTCAGTCTCTTTGAACATTCTGCATAGCGTGTGTCCTCTGGTGATAACGTGTCTAGCTGAACATACATCCAACACCAGCTGATAAATCATTTATTTAATCCATTACTGCCCTGGCAAGTTTCATTTCCGTTCGGTGAATTATGACAACGGACCTGAACATCATCTGCACTGCTGTGCATGGAAATAGATGGCTGGAAAGTACTGTTGAAATTCTGATGAAATTCTTTTAAATTTCTGACCCGTTCTGTTTGTTTTGATGTTTGCTGTCGCGAAGCGCCACTCATACCATTTGATGTACTTGAATAATGCAAGTTTTTATTATCTTCACCTGTAAAAGTTGGATATTTATGAGTTACCATAAACTTCCATGGTGACATATAAAGAACTTGTCTTCATCTCGGAAGTGTCTTTAAAATCAAACTGCGTCAAAATACTGATAAATAAGTGGATGAATAAATAAATAAATAAATAAATAAAGCACGTGTAGGTTGTCCTTCGTGTTGACCGGTCATCAAATGATGGTCATAAGTTTTTGCATTGTTTCCAATCATCTGCTCCGACCGTCGTCCACCTCTGATACCGTCCGCAGTTGGAGAGGAGCCGGAACTTTCACCACGTCGAACCCACTCTGTACAGTAAGCGAAAATATAAGAGTGAATATAATTCACTCATAATTTGTACAGTAGCACACGAAAATAGTAACAATATACTATAACACATAAATTACCTACCAATAAATAACTGAATAAATAAAGAAACGGATCTAAATATATATCACATCACTGTGGAAACTTCCATAGAATGATGAACAAATTTCTTTTAAATTGGTATTTGAAGTATCGAAGTATCACATTCTAAGGACAACCCAGTCAAAAATTTGATTTGAGGAAGTGTATTCAAAATCAATACTCAAATAATAAAATTCATTTAAAAAAAGCATACGGCCAAACTGCAAGTGTAGTTCCTGCGCAGTCGGTCTCTCTAAAATACCACTAGATGCATAACGTGAAGTAGGCCCTGATCCAACAGAATTTTGAGGCCGTACTCCGTGACCCATTGATGAATTTGTAAATAAACGTGATGAACCACCACCGGATCCATATGATCCGCGTCCTGCAAATTTTTCCCATATTTTATGAAGTTGTTTGGCTAATTTAGGTGATTAGTAAGCAAAAAATATCAGATAGGACAACAAGAACATTGAAAGTCCAATTGGAATACCGCATCAAATCATATAAATTTAAAAAATACAAAGTTTATTTTAAAACTTCTCTAAACCATCTTTCATCAACTGATCCACTTACAATATATTGGCGATGCCAATAAACAAAATTAAGTATATATTATAAATGACTACCATACCTCTTCCTGTAGTTGGCATACCTTCCGACCGTCTGCCATTCGGTGGCCCTCTGTTCACGTTCATGTTTCTGTCTCGAATATTCCCTGAATAGCTGCCACGTCTGAATGGATTAGAGATATTAGATCCATTTTTTACCGAAGAGCTTTTAACAGGACACAATGCGGATAACCTAGAACTATTTACTAATGATTAACTGCAAAACCACAACAAGAAATATTTTGTTGAACGGTACTCGCTGAGAAAAATAAATCTTTGTCAACGTCTTATAAAAAGCACTTATTTTCATATCTGTCTTAATATGAACAATAAATCTTCGCGGAAATATTTTTTTACCCTGTGCTGGATGCTTTTCGACCACTGTGCTGTATTTGAAATTCTGACGTCTCCTTATCCAAATCACGCTCTTCATCATCATTTTCTAGCTGTGCACGTGCTCTGCTTGTGTTGCTACTATTGATTTCTTGTGCAATCCGTTCCGCCCGCTTAAAATCTTCTGCGTCACCTTGCACATCAGCTCTGAAATTCAAGGAAACCATCTAGGCATATAAGAATTAAAGAATGTTATACATTTCTATACACAGTACCATACCAACAATCTGATAATAATGCCTTATAGAAGAAATGATCCCACAGACACAATGTGATTTTACAATATATATTTTTTTGTTCACAAAATGTTCAAGTTTCAAACAGAATAAAAAGTAGAATTACGTCGCATATTCGGGCATATTCTCATCAAACGTGCTTTTGACCCCCAGTACATCATTCGCCTGGAACATTTGTTCAACAGACCAACCATCTTCCCGATCATCGTTTAATAGAAGACCACTGTCAAAGTCATCTTCAGATTCCCAAACCTGTAGTTCCATATCTGCCACGGAACCACTCTGATCCGCATATTCACGATCCGTTGCAAATCCTTCAATTTGTTACAATTTTTGCACTTCATTATAATAAAATTGTATATTTTGTTAATCAAATCGAATATGAAAGAAAACCTTCAATCCGTTTTTCGTCCCGATATTTTGCTCCCATGCTATAAACACAATCCCGTTCAAACTGAAGTTTCTCGATGATTTGGTCTTTATGAGGTAACAAATTCTTTTGCTCATCTGGAACTACTTCATGCGCGCATCTCAAGCCAATATCGAACTGCAAAGTGACAAGTAAATTTACCAAAATGGCTAATAACTAAATATCTTGAGCATTTTTATCTCATCCAAACACATTACAAAGTAAAATGATTGTAATATGAAAGATGTAATATGAAAAGAAATACTCACATCCGGAGAACAACCTGCAAATATCCCTTCAAACGTCAATCCATCACGGGTTTCAAGCAGTACTTCCTTACCCTAAAATCAACATTACAATACCTTTATCAGTTGATGCAATTCTGATTCCTTCTTTTTCTGATTTCGAAATTTTGAGAAGTTCTATATAAGAAAAAAGGGCAACTGATAATAAGTACAGGAATAGTTTATTTTCCGAAGCTTGGTGAATCAAATTAGTTAAATATAGGAGAGATAATTTCCCCAATAACTTACAATCATCTTCGTTATCAATACCAGAAGCTCTTGATTAGCGTACACTCCTCTTACTTCATACGTATTCTAAAAGACATAGCAATTTTTAATTTTCGAAGTTTCGCTTGTTGTTATACTCTTATAAATGACTTAGAACTTTTTTAACAGCATGAAAGATTTGAAAAATCCTCAACAATGCCGAAATTTGTGCGACACACTTGCAACACAGAAGTAACACCACATAAGCAATGGATAACGGATTTAGCATTGTTGATACATGAAATGAAAATGGAATTTATCCTGGGGATTGTAATAGTAGCAATCGTGAAAACAGCTTTGGTAAAAAGTTATTCGCTAAATGATTAATTCTGAAAATGATAAAAATTTACTGAATGATTTAACGCTGAAGAAAATTCGGTGAACAATAAAAAAAACACAAATGTTACCTCATTTTGAAGTTTGTGAGGCATGATGTGTATCCTTATCGCTTAGCGATTAAAATATACTTATGTCAGTACAACAACAGAAGTTCCACTTCAGATAAAGCCACAATCAGCTAGCTGACTTATCAATTCAATTTCGAATTATTCAATTCGTTACCGTTATAACTATCTCACACACTCTAACTGTTGCTTCCAAACGAAATGAGTCACTAATCAATCAAGCAGTCAACTGTGCAAACTGTAAAATGACCAAATTTAGTGTCATCTTTTATTTTAAGCAGTAAACAATTCATCTTGAGTCTTCTAAAATTTGATTATACCATAAAAGGAGACACTCCCTCACTTCGATGAACTGATTTCATATTATTCTCTTCTGTCCAGCCGCTTATTTTTATTTCTTTTTCCTTAGTGATGTTATATTTGAATAAAAAAACTTTCTTCAAAAAGCGGTATCAGTTACGATCTTACAGGAAAAGGAAAACAAAGGGTTAATATAGAGAGTTATAATATTCAACTTGGTAAGGATCTAAAATCTTATGAACGTTTACGTGATTACCACAAGTTTAATGTATGGGAATATGGAATACCGAAGGGAATAATTTTGATCGAAATATGGAAAAAAGAGGCGCACTTCACATTCCAGACTCCACACTACAAGTAAGTGGACGTACGCTGACCACTACTCATGCCGTCCAGTGCGCTAACTTCAACCTCCGCCAAAACCGCAACAATTGATTGTCCGCCATCTACTCGTCTGCTCTTCCAACATCCCTACACTCTCCTCCCTGTCCCTCTGTGCAACAACTCTTCCTACCAAACGAAGCGGCGCACCCACGCTAGGAATCACACCCGTGAACAACAACCTTTCTCATAGTCTGTAAAAGCTGTACCCTTATAACAGGCACTACAGTTCGACAAGTTATAAGGAACCCGGGAGTACGATTACGTTACGACTCCGTTAATTGTACAAAAGTTTTCAATGGCTACTTTGAAAAGATCATTCGTTGAAGCGCTTTTAACAACACAGCTATTGCACTCATTTTTATATGCGAATATATAATTTCATTGAATATTCAAAATTCAGTGAGAAATAAATAAACATAATAAAAGAAAGAAATTCGAGAAGGAATATTTTTGGATGATATGATGTAAAACAGGTTGACAGCATCACTAAACATTACAATTAGCATGGATCATCATGTAAATCAACAATCATTGCACAAGCAAATAGCAGGACAAAAACATCGATTACTTTACTAGTTGTTCGCATATGTCTTCTGTCTATACTAGTTGTTATTTCCCTATGTTATGCTCCATCCTCCGTCTTCTACGAATGAAAGTAGGAAACTTGTGTATTATTCTTCCTTTATTTTTAAAATGGAATGTACATGAGCAGCATAAATATGAATTGATTTATATTTAGAAGCACCTTGAAATTCGATTATTCCTCATTAAACCACAACTAAGATGGTTTTCATGGAACCGAATACTCCACTATATAGTGTAATAAAAATGTATTTTGATTAATTTCACAAAAATTTATTACGCTATTCTTCAAGGCTAATTCACTAACCATTGGTGAAAACGACGGTAGTTAAGAAATAGTTACAAACGAATTTCAATGAGATGGGTGATTTGAATCCCACGTTTGGAGGAACTGATAAGCACGTGATACCTGATCATCTCTTTAATAATGATGATGGTAACGACGCTTATTGACTGCGGATTGGATGGCAATAAATGTAACGTTTACCACTTCAAACAGATGTGAAACGAATGAATTTCACGATTAAAAAAATAAAACTTCAGCATAAAATAAATTGCAAATAACCAGCACTAGACCAAATGGAATTTCCACATCAAGAAAAGATAATTACTACAAATGCTACAACAGCACTAGAAATATTGTTATCCCTCCACTTGTGGCATCGGTGGTTCAGTGGTAGAATGCTCGCCTGCCACGCGGGCGGCCCGGGTTCGATTCCCGGCCGATGCAGGGTTTTGCTGTCCATAGCTTTACATTTGATAATTCGCACGCGGTGGTACATACTGCAGCTTGTCATGTACTCATTAATTCAGCTTCAGCCGTAGCTGTCGAGTTTTCATAATTCTAAAATGAATCCTCTCCAGTTCAACGTCATCCAAATCAAGATCAATGACCTGAAATTGGTTACTGTCCGAGAAACCGTCGGGACTCCTTGGGAAAAAAATTACTCATCAAATGCAAGGAATCAATTATGAAACATAAGAATTCATCTAGAACTGCATAAACTACATAAAAATTACTTGAACCAATGCCTTTTGAGTACCTTTTGAATAAGAAAATCTTCAGTCATTATTTTTTCAGGAAGATTTTTGAGCCGTGTCACAATTGAATGGAAGTCGTTAAATTCTCTTAGCTGGTCATTTGTACGGAGACCGTAACGAAACAAAACCACTGCTACCTTGAACAGTACCTTAACACCTGAAATTTCATATATATATATATATATAACAATTTAGTAATCTAATCTAATTTAATACTACATATACATATCTGGTCTTTTAAAGGACTTACAATATTAACAAATTATTCCATTCAAGCAGATTCTGTTGACCGTCCGGATTGCTTAAGAGCCTAGGCAGTTATTAAGAAATGAAAATAGTCAGATTAAATATATGCTTCAGTAACTGCTTTCACCTAGAAATGAGAAAATAGCTACTTATTAATGAACAATAACAATAAATTTGAAATTAAAAGTTTGTGATGAATGTGTATCTTTAGAAGTTGTGCAGAATAAACTATCAGCACCGTTTGATGAATAGTGTAACAACCACTAAAAACCAATAATGTTTTACATTTTAACACACTTGAAATTAGAATTCTGCGACAACAGAAGTTAAATATCTTGTTAAACACATTAAAAAGGCATTTAATGTGGTTTATAAAGCAGTGCTGATATATTCTGTTAACCGTCCGGAGTACTTAATAGTCTAGACAGTTACTAAAAAGTAAAGATTCCGATTTATACTAGTGCAGATATCATTCCTCAATATCTGAACCTATCTTTGCTGCCCAGAAATACTAATTAATTAGAAACTTATACAGCAACAACTTTCATTTACTTCTTACATTATCTACAATATTCATTATACAGCAAAGAAATTGGTATTCTTATATGATAACCTTCGCAAAAGAACATATCCCATACTCGGAGTACTGTCGGCCACGGAAGAGTTCGGCAGAAAATACACATAAACCATTCAACCATATAAAGTACAGGTTCAACGCGATGTTTTTTCTTTAAAAAAAAGTGCAATTTTGAATTCTCTTGAAAAAATTCCCGGTAAAAATTTATTAATATTATTAAAAAAAACAAACGAACCAAATGTCTATAACTAAAACGTGATTTGTCTTTCAACACTTGAAATAAAATGTCACCATCGATTTGTATTGCCTCCTATAAATATTATTACAGAATAGGGAAAAAAATTGAAAGCAGGTTACTTCCAAAAGTTATCGAACATATACTATTATATTGTTATTTTCGAATATCTGATCCACTTACTTCCATTACTTAGAAGTACCCACTAACTTAGAAGTATTTTACCAAAAATCAAGTAATTGATCCTTTTTTTGATCTTTAGGACGCTTCCCGAACATTAAGTTTGAAATAGGGAGTATATCTCTGTCAGTACAACACAAAACGAAAAAGTGTAACATGCATTTACACTTTATTTCAAATTTAATGTTCGAGAAATATCTAATTTTTAAGAAAATATCCAAAAAACGTACAAGGCCGGCACTATAGTAACCCGGCAAATATTTGTGACAGATTTGTACAAAACAGTAAAAAGCATCACGCAATGGCATATGCATGAGCAAAACAGCAGCAACAGGAGCTTGTCCTTGACAGTAACCTTCTTCAGGATGTAGCACAGTATATGCCTTAAGTAATTCGAATAAATCTGATTTCCTGCAACACACATGATATAAAAATAATGCAGTGAATAGGAAAATCTAAATTCCAATTTCTATGAATATAACATAAGCAGAAAACTAATATAATAAGTAAGAAATTCTAAGACTTTTTAATGAATATGCATATATACGCACTACTACAATACAAACATTATCCATGAAAGCACAATGAAAAAAGTTTAATGATGAAAATATAGTTGCTGATGTAACTAGCATATTTTCACCATAGCAAAGCATACCCTCCTTTTCCATAAGGTCCAGCACGAGAAAACATGACATGTTCCGGAAATTGGCGATTTAAATCTTTCTTAATATCCTCAATCCATCGAGGGTCAGCCGGCTGACTACTCACTTCCTAAAAGTATGAGACTCTAAAAGTAAAAGTATGAGAGATTGGTTACAAATGTACATGTTTGCTTGAGAAGGTAGACGATCCTCGTTTTTGGATTTCTCCATTAAAGAAGTAAAACAGAAAGACTGTTAACCTCAAAAACGTGTTTGTTTATGCTAAATTCCATATGGAATGCAGCACCGCATAAGTGCTTCCAAGCTCGACCACGTAATGACGCAGGTATACCTTTGCGGCAACGTTCCCTTACTTTTTCATATTTGTTGTCCATGAAATAAGACCAATTTGTAAGCATATGCAACCATTTCTTTTCACGTTTCCGTAGCGTCTCTAAGTTCACTGTAGCTTCACGATTTCTGCAATAAGGATAAAATATTCTTAATTGCCAAATTATAATTTTTATTCTCAAATTTCGTCCAAAGTTAACAGTGTTTTTATTATAGTTTTTCTTTCTCATTCGTTTCATAGGAAATATTATATGAACGATCTAAAAATCGAGGTCTTTTTTTGCTGTAAAAATCAATAATTTGTTGGTTCAATTCAGTGATCCTGAATATACGACTATTATTTATCTAATCTTATATGCAAAGATATTTCAAGTACTGTTGAAGCAACCTATAAATTTCCTCTTACTACACAGAATAGCACTTTTCTTAAACTCTTATATAATGATAAGCTATCGGTTTGCAAAATTTATCAAGATCATCTGGTAAATTGGGTAATCACTCCAATATTTCGGTCAATAGTCTTGATGAATCAGCTTGTTTGTTAAACCAAACTATTAAATGTAATGTAACCAATCAATACATTACAGCCTCAGTAACAATATGAAATAACATATGAAAATATTAAGGAAAACGAACATATTGTTGGGACTTCGTATGAAACCAAATGCGTCAATTCGAGAATTCTGAAAAAATTCTGCCAATGATGGATGGATCGCATTCGGTTCGTATTCATTATTCTCTTCCTTCTTTTTGTTTAGGTCGACTTGCATCAAGGAATGCTCATTTCGCCCCAGAACCGACTGTATATCTGCTTCCGATATGTTACTTCGTTCACCTTGCTAAGAATCAAATTATTTAAAGCTCAAAAGATGTATCCGAAAAATAAGTGATAGAGAAACTGATAAAAGGCATGCAAGATGGCATAAATGGTCGTGCTTTCATTTCAATATTTGATGCAAAAAATATTAGCTAACCTGTGATGCGTCGGTTGCAATCGGTAAAGACGTGCTTGTTGCACTGATTAGTTTACGTTCACTGCTTAGATCGCTGGCTGTAATGCTAGAGCAGATATTGGAGGAGTATTCATTTAGATTGTTTGATCCACTCTCCGCGCTTTCTCTGTTCGACATGTTCTCCTCTTAAATATTATTTTAGTACCAAATCAGAAAAGGTAAAATGAAACAGAATGTAATGGATACACTGGATAATTACTGGAAAATCTATAGATTAAATCAACTGCAAGCAAAATTTAATAATATAACAAGTGAAATTTAGATATTGAATTTCGTATCCACCTGGAAATCTCACTTTTAGGAAAGAAGTAAATTTGTGCATATCCTTATAAATAAACTCTTCAAATATATGAAAATTCACACAGTCTCAAGCATTAATTGGGACATTTCCGTATAAAACGAAAGTCAACAAAAGTGAAGCCCCTGGTGCGTGCCATCACAATAACAAACACCGCCACAGGCGTTGAACTGTTTCGCGGCTGGCCGATGGATAACGATGATGGGAAATAAAATACGTATTCATTCTCTGTTGTTAGTGGAATTCATTAATTGGCTGTTAATTAGGTAATAAAACACTCTTTTTCTTATTAAAATAAAACTTTCTGAACAAAGCAATTGTAAGTAATTTCAAGTCTAGGCTGACTAATTACAGCCAAAAGAGACCTAAAATTAAAGTGTAGCTAGCAACAATGGGCAGATTGATAGCTATAACAAAGCAGGAAGAGACGTATATCAACCGAACAATCTTCTAATATAATCCACACATTGATCATTTCCCTGTATTTATACAAATTACATTGTCGCTTTTCTGGCCTCTGCACTAAGCGCAAATAAATAGCGAATGTTAGCAATGTGTTTGTTGGTTGAATGAACATCTTGGCATTAAAACTAAACATTAAGAAAGATCAGTAGTTCTATGATAAGTACCTTTCATACTCTCTTCTTTCATCTCGAGCTTACAAATCTCCAGATAAAAGAAGCCATGTGAACTTGGCATTTCTTGAATAAGCTTGCGATATATCTGTATTGGTGAAGAAAATTAAGTGATACAATAATAATCACTCAATATTATTATATCACGTTGCACACAAACGAATGAACTGTGGAATATTTTGCTTGGAACGGAAGATGTTACTGTAAAATTAATTTAATGATTTCATTTGCTTACCACCATCAATTCATGTATTCATTGTTTGTTACGCTGTTCAATGCTCACAGCAATCTTTATCGTAATAAATATCGGAAATAAATATGCTATGAGATCACAGTATCTGTCTCACAATTTTACCCAAAACGATTCGAGAAATCAGAAATGATAAAACTAATAAATACATGCACCATGAACAAATGCAATGTCTAATGTAATTGTGTCATACAGCAATTCATTGTCAATCGATTATTTCGTCATCCCAAAAGATATATTCGGAATCAATTTAGTATTCAAATTTGATAATTATGTTTGTATTTCTTCTTAAATTAACTGTCCAGGAATATTATATTAGGCTTTTACTGTTTTTCCTTGTCCATTTAATGAAGATAAAAAAGAATGTCATTGGAATGAGTGAAATTATGATTTTGATAAGTAGAAATTTTTTTTAATTCCAAAGAAAATTTGAAAAATTAAAGGATTTTCATCGTATTGCTAGCATAATAAATAAATGTTTGACTCATAATTTTGAAATTGGTCAAAAATTGAGCAAAAAAGAAAAACAAAGTCAAGAATTAAATGGTAAGGTAACAATTATGCAAATTAACTGCACAAATAGCAAATATGTCAAATTCAACAAATTGTTATTCTTCTTCACCACGATAATATGCAACTATCGCACCAGACAACTATAATACGCGAACTTATCTGCACAAAGCAAAGATAGTGAATAAAATCACTGAGTGAACTGCTTGATGATGTATTTGAGAACTAATCCCTACGGTATACTCAACAATTAATTAGTCTTACTGTTCCGCAAGCTATTTCGAAGTTATCTGGGTGCCAAGTAGAATCGCATAATAAAGACCCTTGTTTGTGAAGTTTTTCCATCTTACCGGCGGTAATATCAAAGACTGAAAGATATATAAAAATTCTTAGTAATTAATAGAACGAACATTTACTTATATTGATAAGCATCGTAAACAATATGCTGAAAACTTACTGCAAATATATCCACGTGAACTATTAGCATATACATAACGGTGTCCACTAATCTGCGGTGAGAATCTGGCTCGCCATAAAAATTCCGATTTGTCATTACTTTCTATTTCTAATAATGTGTAATATAAATAAGAGAAATATATTTGGCTAGCATAAAAGTAATTATCCTTATTACTGCTTTCTCCTTTTTTATTTTAATTTCTTTCTTTCTTCATTTCTGCTATTGATTGCTAACGTATATATACAATGAACTTTTCATACGAATAAAATAAGTTTTTATGATATGACCTCTGCCAAAATGTGTTGTTACTTCATCCTCTTGTCGATAGATATTAAATGGCTGATTCTAAAAATTGATATACAAGATGTGAAATATCAGCATAACATTTAGGAAATCTATTAAAATCGTCGAATGAAAGTAACTTAACATTAAGAAAATAACGTTTCCTTAAAAATGCAACATTTACATGTGATAAGATTCTTCCCTTTTTTTAATTTTTTAATTGATGTATTCCAAATAATTATAATGAAATAAAATGATGTACTTCGAAAAATCGTAAATCCCAAGCATCAATTCTGCTACCGCAAGTAGAGGATGTAACAACATACTTATCTTGACTATCACTATCAATATTAGCAACATTAGATGATGAGCGAGTAGCAGTCATTAGAACAGGGATGCGATTGCTGTTTGAACGACTATCCCATACCTAAATGTAAGAAGTCACATAAGTCAAATTAATTGCTCGGTCAATTGAAATGGCTTACTTGATATCCAACTGTCACTTGAAAATTAAAAGACCCATATGACAAATTTTACTTCTTTCAAATATTGCAATCATAATTCTTACTGCTTTATTTGTGAATAATTTTATTTGTCGCATCATGATACGACAAATAGATACGCGGATAATTCCATGCTACAAAGCTTTTCTTTTTTCATCAAATCTTTCTTTCTTTCTCAATGCAGCATTTTTTTTAAAAACATGCAATAGTTTTCTGGTCTTAGATTCTGAATGTTAGAATTTATACCCGCTATTGTTAAATTAAGATTAAGGTAACTCGCACTCATCTCGCATAATATGATTCATGTGCATTGTGAATTATTCTAATCGTGCCGTAATTTGCATAATTTTGTTATTCTTTAAAAAAGATACATCTCGTTAGACACTTGGAAACAATAAATTAATTCACCTTCCAGAAACCATCGGAACTTCCAGTGTAAAAAATGTTAGGATTAACTTTGGAGCAACTAATTGCCGTAATATCCCTTTGATGAGCTTGAAACTGAAATTAATTGGCTCTACACTTTGGCCTTCATATTTTAATTTGTTAAATACAATTTTACATTTCCATTATTGATTCTAAGCATTACACCATAACATTACGGTTTGTTTAACCAATCCATATGCGGTTTTCTCGAACATTTGCTGACACAAATTTGATATTTTCAAATGCTATTCAATCACGCTACATTATAAAGCTATGAGACGAAATGAAATTTTATATGCTGAAAATAAAAAGACAGACTGAATAACGACTCGATTCTTTAGTGCTTATGATGCTTACACGACCGCCCGATTCAACAACTAAAAGGTAGTTGTCATCCATGTTGAAGCATAAGGATGAACACACATTCCTTAAATTTTTTCAAAAAAAACAAAGAAATGAGAAAAAATGAAATTTAATAAGAAGACAAAGAATCATTTGCCCAATTTAAAATGAAACAAAACTTGTCATAAATGTATTGAAACTAACTGAATATTAAACTTTTCAAATTGATAAGAGTGGTATAAGTTACCATCGTAAAGCAGCTATTGGTTGTAATGTATGAAATAAATTCCAACGTGCTGCTTGTCGAATTCGATCAATATGAAAGCAGTAAACTAGAATAAATTTATCATTATTATTATTACCTTATTGACGATAACTCAATTCTATTGTTGCAAAAAAGCATTGAGAATACCGTTTGCGTCAAGCGTCGTATAAGCAAGATGTTCACCCATTGAACTACGAGTGATATCAACAACATTACAATTAGCGCTTGGAAGGTCACTTCTATTCAATAATTCATAATGCTGTGGACTTTTCCGCATATGAAAGGTTAAAATGTTATCTGAAAGAATTTTTCAAATATTCATTTAAAACAAAGGAACGAAGTAAAACACAATGGAATATGATCAAATCCTATACACGTTTGTCCTGTGGTTCAGAATGCATTTGTATAATTAATGATTGACAAATTTAGTGAAGCATCTAGTGAAGATAAATCTAAATATTTTTGTTCATTTTTTGGATCTAATGTTTTGTTAGCAAATTTTTATATTTTATTTCTTATGGGCCATTTTTAAATACTATCTGATATGACAGAAATTTTGTCAGATCAAATAAACGTTATAATAAAATGAAAGTTTTATCTTGCTAGATTGCAAATACTGGGCAAGATATTTTACGAGACTAAACTTTATTTAAATAGGTTGTATGAAGAGAAATTAGTTTTATTAGCAAAGTTTTACCTTGACTTAAAGAGACCAATCGATCGAATTTCAAATGCATACAGCGCAACAACGTACAATGACTTACTGATATTATCTCATCTCGATTTGGGAAAAATCTAACATTGTTAGGAATGATAACATTCAAATAAATTAATGATAACAATTCTTCACATTCAGATGTGTTCAGAATTGATACAATATGTATGAGTGGCATATCAGCGACATGATAATAATTCTGCTTGTCCGAAAAATTCATCTGACTTCTATCAATGGGAAAATTGAGAAACCTATTGGCAAGATTAGCTTTTTCAGCCATGGTGAAAGCAGCGTTTTTGTTTGACGCGATCATTGCATAATCACCGTGCTGTTTTTTACGTTTTCCCATTTCACGACTTTTTATCATGCCGCCAATTGACTTGTTTGGTAAGGATGCGCCTGACTCAACCGATATCCATCTTCTTAAACCCAGCATATTCTGAAAAAGATGAAGGAAGGGGAAATTCATAGAATTAATGTATAAGTGAACTGATTTATAATGATATACTCTTTTTCCTTTTTTGGCAATAGTAAACGGAAATTTGAATTTAAACTTGGAAGTCAGATTACTAATTACCCTGGAAATCTGCATTAAAGTAATGGGAAAACGAATGTTGCAGTAATATTTAAAGCTCCAACGAAATTGTAATGGATAAGAGTAAAATATAAAGTTGTTTGATAGCTCAAAAAATTATTTTAGTTTTGTGGCAACCAAAGAGGCAGGAATTTTACCAAGTTTACACTATTAAGAATCTGGTAGACAAAAGAAATAAGGAAAACCTGATTGTTTAGGGGAAAATCTGAAAACATTTGGAATTTCTTAAAATATATTTTTCGAAATACATCAAAGATACTTTTAATTTCATCCCGAAGATTTAAATTTGCTTTTCAGAACGACAATTTTAGCAAATATTCATAAATAATATATTCGTTTGCTCATGTTATTTGCATTAAAAGAAAAAATGAGAAATTTTGCCTATTGATCAATACTTTTGTATTACTCGCCCTTCCTGTACGGCTAGTTTTATCATTCAACATTGTAGTAAACATCTTTTAATTACACTTAAATTTGCAGTTACGAAATTTTAATTGAATTAATGGAACTAACTGAATGAAGAAAACATATTTTATATGTTAAAACATTTATTGTACCATCGCATTATTATGATACGATTTCTAAATGTGTTTTCTTCATTCAGTTAGTTCCATTAATTCAATTAAAAGATGAAGAGAAAACCACGTTTCTGTGATTACGAAATTCTACGGCACATCATTCTTGATAAGTTGAGCTGAAGAAGTTATCATCAATAATCATTGAAAGAATTGAGTATGAAAAGAAGGATATCGAGAGATTGAATAACTTATTGAGGGATTGAACGAAAAACAAATATCAAACTATCATTACTCCTTACAATCATAATAACTAAGAATTAATTATGATCACGGTCAATTAAGATTATATTTACGGATCAATCAGTTTTTCCCGCTTTGTCATGATCAACTTTATCTTGGAGGATTTCCAGAAATTTGCATAAATCTTCGCAATAATTACTGATTAAAAAACCATGGTTTTTCGACAATTTCCAGATGTTTGCTACCGGTTGCATTTGAAACATTCTATCCGGTATTCGATTCATTGACTTCCAGAAACGGTACGTTTTGTTGCAATTTGAAAATATTATCGGATTTTTTTGTGCCAAATCTAATTGTTCAAATCTCTATATATTGTCAAAATTTTATTGTCAGTGGAATTGTTCGAAAAATGATGTGTAATCTATTTGTTATCAAAAATTTCTACTAAAACACTTTTTTACAAATGAGTTTAGTAAGGGAAATGAAGGCACTAAATAGTTTTATCGATATTGAAAGATCAGATGATCAAATGCGCTCGGAACGATTATCAAATCAGACAGAAAAACTTATGCGCAGTGATTTCTTACGGATAGCTTATGGAAATTCATTGTTGCGTGCTTCTCTTATATTGCTTACTATTGCGATGATTTTTTTTACTGTCATGAAAATTTGCAAATTATTTTATGAAATACGAAATCACCAACGACAACAACAGGTCGCATTAATTTTAAGACATTTTTTTTATTTAATTAATCATTTAGTGTATTGCATTATTAAGTAAAGTTTGATAAGAATTTAATGAATTAAGATGAAGAGAAAGGAGAAATTCATGTAATTTAATTATTTATTTTACTTTGTTCATTTTGACCTTCAAATATTTTTATGAAAGTTGTCCAAAACATTCATTCATACAGTCCGTTATCCGTTTAATGCGGCTGATAAATTGAGAAAAGGGTTCGATATGATATAAGAAATATTAAAGGTAAGCGAATCTGATAACGAAACTCCTCATATATTGGTTGAAGCACATTCAGCTGACTATCCATTTTTTGGTAATAAAAAATGGAATAAAAATGGCAAATGTGGACGAACTTTTCATTTATGGTGAATATCTCTCGTTTTGTAGAATATAGTTTAAGTTGATTGGACTTGATAAATTATTTTTATTCTTTCAACAAAAGCGGAATTATTTGATGACTTCACTGTATGATGATATATGGTAACAAATATTTGCTAAATTTCATGATGTTCAGGAAAACGAAATCAGACTCAGATTCAAATTCATTACCCAGTAAAGATATGAAAGTTAATATATCGCTATCGAATAAGTGGGATTCAAAGAGAGATAATTCACAAAATGTAACGCTGATTTAACAAAATATTTTTTTACTTTTTCACTCACAAATATTGTATAAATTGCAGATTGTTTTGAAATATAACAGCTTACCCTTCCATTTTAACAGTACTTTCGCTGGAAGAGTTTATAATAAATTAAATGGAGAAAATATGAAAAACTTTTGCTTCAGATATACCCAATATCAAAGTCAAGTCTAAAATCATTAACAAAAGGCGTTGAAATGACAAGTTCAGGTCTGTTTAAATTTTAAAAGCTTCTCATGTTTATTTTTTTGGCATATAGTTCAAATCAGAGATTAAATCCGTCCTTCTCATTAGGAAAGTTAATTTGTTGCTATTTATTAAAAAGTTTAATCTTGAATGAATGAAACTAAAAATACTTGATAAATTTGCAAATTAAATTTTGCAGATACCATCAAAACAGCGACCTATTCTGGAGGCCATAGCACTCAAACTGGAAATGTTCAATCAGATAATAGTGATAGTAAATAAAATACGCACAATGCATGCAATTATTTATTTCCTGTCGGTGGCGAAATTAATTAATTGGCTGTTAATTAGATAATAAGTCACTCTTTTACTTATTAAAATAAAACTTCTTGAAAATAAACATAAAACAATAATTTCAAGTTTAAGCTAATTAATTACATCTAAAATGATTAATGAACTAAAACTAAGGCATAACCTCAAATTCCAAAAAACGTTCACTGCTATTCATTGGCATACACAATGTAGTAACTTTCGTTATCGCAACCTTTAATCAGTTGTTCCAGTTCAGATGATAATAGAAGATGGAAATTTTCATCAGTTACATTTTAATTCAGTACATTGCTTTAGTATTCCATAATTCTTCAATCCATTCCAGATAAAACAAATTGGCTTTTTGTCGCATTAAATTTTAGAAATGATTCATCTTAAGCTTGTTATTCACTCGAATATGTCTCAAACGTTTCATTGCATTTACTTTAAAAAACCGAAACGACCAGTAATTTACTTTAAAAAACCGAAACGGCCGATTACAGAAACAAAATCATTTATGTAAGTAAAAACTCCATAAATTAGAAGTAATTTTTAGCTTGCTTCATGTTATTTATTGATTAGATAAAAACGGTTAGACATTATTGCTTATAAATTACCAAATTTTGTGACTTTTGAAATAACAATTTCCTTTTTGTTATATATAAATAAATGACAATACTATGATTTTGAATTTTAAATTCTATTTCCAGAATTAAACTAGTGAATTTGAGAAATAAAATGACTTTCAAAAAATAAATGGCCAAATGTTTACTGAGAACTAACCAGTGAATAAAGAATTTAACCGATTACCGTATATTTATGCAAATTACATGTTGGCGCTTTTCTGTTGTTTGCATTAAGCGCATATAAATAGCAAATATTAATAATATGTTTGTTGATTGAATTAACATCTTGGCATCAAAACTAAATATTAAAAAGCGCAAAAGTGCGCTTCGGTCGTTGAAGGCTTGGGAAGCAAATTTTAATTGGAATTTGATGTTATGAAAAAGAACTATTAATGAAATTTGCTGACATCGATGAGTTTTATTTCCACGAAATGTCAGACAGATCACACCGACTTACGTTACTCCGTCTGTGTTCTTTTCATCTTACGAAGAAAATGGTATGCGTTTTCATCTTACGAACTACTTGGTAAAAATGGCATGCGTGAAATCGTCTCACCTCACTTTCTGATTGATCTAAGTCTTTCGCTTCTTTCTGTGTCTTTTGATTTCTTATCAATTCTGACGTCACTTCTTCCCATGCTAAGAAAATATATATGCATCAGCCATTGATGAAACATGGCCAGTACTACTTACAATACTCACTTCTTTCATCTCGAACTTACAAATCATATGACATGCAAACTTTGACATTTCCTAATTATTTTTTCAAGCCTGTGATACGTTGTGTTGATGAAGAGAATCAACTAATTCAGCGATATTGCAATTCCAATTTAACTTTTCAACTTATTGAAATCAAAAGTGCAATTATTTTATCTGTGGCATTCATAAAATTATTGAAAATATGGACGGTAGATTTAGAATTGAATTGAACTTGGGGAAGAGATGGAATATTGAATTAAATTTTAAAGAATGTGCAAATATTATCATTTTTTCTTTTGATATAGAAAACATTCTTTCCACCTTTATTAATCTTTTGTCTAAACAAAGATCCATGCTGCATTTCAATTTACAACATTTCGAAAGTTCAGAGATTCATATCAAAATCTCGATGACTGAAACGTGGAGCTATTAGTAAAAAAAAGGTAGCAATACCGGTGAGGAAAAAAATACAACAAAAGAAGAAGCGATCAAAGACAATCGAAATATGATTCCATTCCTCAACCAATTCGTCGTGATCGTTCTCATTTTCAATTCGTTCTATCTAAAAAAAATTTCAAAGCAGGAAATATATGAAAACGTTTACTTGTCATCAGAAATATGTCAGCCTGACAGAGAACATTTCACGTAAGATTGCATATTTATGAAGAAACCTTCTTGATGAAGATAATTCAATTTCAAACGTGAAACATTATCATATAAGAAAAACTTGGGAAATTGTTATTTCTTTTTCTACTAGTAATATATTACGTATATTTGAGTAAATTGATTAATAGCATTTCAAGCTATTGAGAAAAATTTCACATTCTAAAAAGAAATTGGTTCATAGAAAAAGATAATCGATAAATTGTTAACTGATATCATTGAGGAACTAATTGATTTCAAATATAGCACTAAATTTTGTGTTTTAGTTATAAAATTGGCAGGGGATAAGAAATAATTTTTAAAATACAATACAATAATTTCGCTCATCAAATCTTTTGTGTTCTTCGCATATTCCAATTTTCGACGCGTTTTTGGTGTCGCTGTGCCGAACAAGCGCCCCAGAATTCGATAAGCAATAAAATTCAGCCAGTATGGTGGTCTAAATATGAAATATTCAAAGATTTATGAGGATCTCGAATATTTCATTTAAGTCAACAAATTTTAAATTTTATATTTAAAAGTTTACAATAAGGAGATGGATAAAATCTATTGGAAAACCTGCAATTTCGTTCAGCGCTGTGCCTCATGTTGAGAACGATGACTGATAGACAAACGCCGAGACCCGAGATTGTCATTATTCCCATCAAATATATTGCTAAACTTTTCAAATAAATTCGCCAAAAATCATCATTTACTTATTAAGCAACAAACATTCAGTTGATTAATTTACTATTAAACTGAAAGAAAGTGTGTCCCAATGTTTTCTCTCTTATAGCTTTAAGAAGAATAAAACTTTTCGTCAACTAATCATTGTCATAACTATTCCATCGTGTCACACAAAACTCCCCCTCATTCACAAAACCATTTGAAAAGATATTAATCAGTATGATATTGAAATTTGTTTGACAATAATCTCAAAAAAATCGATGAATTGAAAAATTGATTTAAAAATTGATTTTTTTCTTCATTCATCTTTTCATTCATTAGTGATAGTTATTTGAGATTTTTAATAATTTTATCAGAAGATGTTATGAATGAATAATATGAATAAATATATTGATAAAAGTTTTCTATTCAACTTTTGAATAATTCTTATCCTTAGAAATAATAACCGATATCATCAATGATCAATTAATGAAGCGCTTTTGTAACATTAACGATTCATTTACCGATAAGAGGAATGACTTCTGATGTTTCCGGCATATTTTCAGCAATATTAAAGCTGAAAACGGAATAAGCTAGCAGCACTGTTAAGCCAAGTGTTATTTTTTCACCGCTTTCACATGGTAGTAAGAATTGCATCATTGTTAACATCTAAAATGAATTACTTGATTTATCAGTAATTCAAGTAAATGATGGACGATTTGTTGCAAGAATAAAAGTAGAACTTCATTTGAGTCTTATTTTTATTCAAAAATGGATGAAATAATAATTGCATGATCGTAGCAACAAAATGCTTCTTTCTCTATGTTTGTTTTTAAAATATGTAAGGAACAGTAGATGATTGACTGTATATTTTGAATTTTAACTATCATGAACTAACAGAAAGCATGAAACACGGTGCGATAATATTATAAATGAAGTATAGCACGCGCCGTCGTAAATGCAATTCAAATACAATTGTCGAAAAGGTTGTTTGTCTACCGCGAAGTATCTGAAACTGATATTGATTTAATACCAAGACAGATTTTAAGGATTATTCAGGTACCTCAACTGTTTACTTTGAAATAATTATTGGAATATCAACTCAAGTTGTGTAGTTCAAGCTAACTACCAATTAAGTCTTGTCTTGTTAGCGGTCAATTTTAATGTTCGTATGCATTTAATGATGATATTTTGGCGCACGTGTACTTAAGTTACAATAGTACATAATATACGATATAAAAATAACACCTTACGAGTACGATTTGCAACAATTTCCCATTCCCCATTTTCGATAAACGAATCACGCGTGAACGGATTTTTACCATCGTATCGTTCCATAATTTGTACATCCAACTGTGATTGATCGTATATCCCTAATTTACAGTAATTCAAAAATATGTAATATAACTGTTAAATTTACAAGACAACTTACAATATGTTAAAAAGCTGAAAGTGTCTATTTTTAGCTTCTCATTGACATTTTTCTTTTTTTTGCATAATTGTTAGTTATAAGATATCATTGTTAATTAAAGTATTTTCATATCATTTTAATCGTGTGCCATACACAATAAATAGACTAAGAGACTTTTCAACAGAATACTGCTGAAAAGTCTATTAGTCTATTAGAAGGTAATCGGTTTCATCAGTGCAATTACACTCTAACATAATCTCAGTTCGATAGCATTGACTTTACTTAATCTGATTGTTCGATTCTATTTAAATTCACTTATCGTTCATAAAAATAATTCAGCACAACATTCATTATTTTTAAACTATTTGCTATCTTTAGTTATAGTTTCGAAATAGTGATAGTAATTAGAAAGTGTGATTAAAAGAGATGAAGATTAACATGAGCCAAATTCAAGAACGCAGAGCTGATCGTCGAACGGAAAATATCTAACATCCAATTTACATATCGAATAAACCTTTGCTGGAGGTGCCCATTGTGCTTCAAATTCATTTCACATAAATCATTGCTTTTTATTCTATTAAATATATATTGGGTACTTCTTTGAATTATTTAATAGAAATAAAATTAGGTGAAAATGCATTACGTCTAGTTCCCATGTTCGATAAGTGTACTTCCTCAAAGCATTAATAAAACCGTGATATAACTTATGTACTGGTCTAATAATTCTTCGAAGGTTACATTGTTTATTAATTTGAAAATTTAAACTTCACAAAAAATATTAATTTGCAAATCTTAATTTTAATAGGCTGATTATCCAATCTGTCATAATTTAAAAAAGAATAAAGGCTCAAACATACTATCGCCATTACTCAAAATATGAAGATTAGTGTCAACAAAACCGCGTGAGAAATCTCGCGCACTGAAAAAAACAAGAACGGTGATTAAAATTTTTATAAAACAGTATCAAAAATAAGGATTGAAACTTGCAGTATTAATAAAATTGAATTTGTGTAAACGTAATGTGAAATAATACTTAATATTTCCAGAAAAAGATTTTAGGTTAATTAAAGATTTTAATTGTTTGCTTCTGGCATACGTTTTATCTTCCAAATTTTGAGTTTATGATAAATTTAACTGTAGAAGAGATAAGGAATCAAAATTTTGAATTTGAAAAGTTGATGATAAAAGTTAAATATTGGATAATGACTTATTATAGAGGACGATATCCGGTGTCCACAAATACTTCTTGCCGACTGTTAGTTTGCTGATATTGCCAAATTCGATTGGATCCCAGCGAATTCTTTCGTCACGCCAACTTTGTTCCACCCAAACATTTAACGTCAAAACTTGATTTCTTTCATCCTTTGAATTATGAAAGTTCTTCATATTAAAATTTTAAAAAACTAAATCACAAAGGAAAATTAAATTCTTTGTTTATTATTTCAATTTGTTATTCTTTGTCCCAAGTTTTATTCAAACCAATTTAAAATCGACTTTTGTTATAAGACGAAATGGGAATCGATTGTAGAAGAATGAGAAATGAAATCCCAAGATAATTGAATAAGAAAGACGAAGTTGGATGATTTTTGAAGATGAAAGATTAGTTGAACAAGAATGAAGCATATTTGACTAGTTTGGTTTGCTTCAAAATAAATTGAATTCTTCTTTCTTTTCTCTTAAATGAATAAGATGATAAATTGACAGGGCACTTTTTGACTCACTCTAAATAGTTTGAGCTTAAACAGACATTGGCCAAATTTTATTTCAATTTTTCTTTTGCTGAAATGTTTTTTTTCAATAATCTATCCATTTCTTGAAATTTTTTTTTGCTTGTAGTGTAGCTTTAGGTTGAACTTTTTCAAGAAATATGACGACAAAGGTAGCAAAAATAAAGAATGGACAAATTGTGTCGCTACAAATATTTGCATTTTGTAAAAAATTCCTTTGGAAAATGTCGAAATTAATTAACTCGCTGAATGTTTGATGAAAATTTAAATTTAGCGATTTTTTACAAACATAATTTGCAGTAATTCGTTACTGAATTCAAAAGTTGAATAAAAATTATTTTTTAACTAGAACAGTTGTCAAATTTTCATTTTACAAAATTTTAGTGCCTAATAAATTTATCATATCCTATTATCGTTTAAGTAAGAATTTGGAAAAATTGGAAAGTATTACAATATTGAAAATATGAGTAAGCGTGAGCCCCATATAAACATTCACGACAGTGCTTGCATTCCAAACCGGTCGCACGGAAATGTCATAATTCCTGACAATGTGTTTGAATAAGCGTTGCTCATCATTCATCCCGTGCTGTTTCAACTCAACATCTGACATTTCCTCACGATCCGGAATATCCGGCAATTTTACTGAAATTCTATCTAAATTAAATTAAACTTTCATGTTTTTTGAAATCAAAAATCAGCAAAATATATCAACTTAATTATCTAAACTACGCTAAAATTATCATTTATAATTACTACTGGCATTGATGTTAGCTGATAGTGATATCAATATTTTGTTTTAACATTCCGCATTAAGCAAACAATCTATGAAAATGTATCATATAAATAACATTCATCACTAATTTAATATTAAAAATTATTTTTTTTTCATTATTATTTTCAATGTTATCACTAATGAGTACACTAATAGTAATGAAAATGATAAGTAGCGTCAACTTGTAATTTTTGACACATTTATTATATTTCAATTTCATATTTCGTTTCCTGAAACTTTGTCGTTTTGTTAATAATCCGGAAAAACTTACTGGCAACGTTGGTTTGCACAAAAAGTACGGAAAGTGAGAGTAAAAACGTGATTGTAAGAGTAACAGGATATCGAGACAATCCCAATGTTCGTCTCTTCGAAAATGCGCTGAAATGGCTGAAATGATGGTGACGCCCATCTTGGCATAATCGAAATATCCTCATTGGTTCGAGAGTGATGCTTCAAAGTGTAACGCACATTCTCTCTCATTTCAATGTATTATTACAGAAGAGACTAGGAGAATTAAAAACCAAGCCAGATTTGTCTTGTATTGTGTCCTTTTTCAGCGACTCTTTTTAAACAATTAAATTTTACCTCATATCTCAGCATTCCTTTTATAGATTCTATAAAACGGAACTTACATCTAAGAAAGCATTCAACTCGTGCAAATATAATTTTATTCTATACTTCACTATCTTTTATATAAATCCCACAAAACGATGCCTGCAATCAAAAAGATATTAAGCTAAAATAAATATAATTCTATCTTACACTGAATATCCTGTTATGTTCATTTCGGAAATTGGAACGGATAATCGAAGAGTGTATGCATATTTTCATGATTGCAAATTTCATTTTGTTATGTAAAAGGCATTAAAGTGTAAAACAATATTCAACTAAGGCAAATATATTTACAGGTTGCATAAATTTCAGGAGAATGAAACTGAAAATTAAAGAGGGTTAGAAAAAAGTGAAAAAAAGTCGATTTTGTATGTAATTTTCTCTCTCAATCAACTGAATTTTAATTATTTTATCAAAAATTTGTTTTCAAATGAGTAAATGAAAAATAGGATAAAAACTTATTCATTTAACCGACAATTTCAATTAGAAATCAAAAATAAATTTCAAAGATTTACTTCTTTCAGTGCAGGTGATAATATTTTTCCAGCAGATATTTTCTGCCATTTTAATAAAACGCATTGCTAAAAAATAATCAATTAATTTTTCTTTAATGAAATCAAAGCCTAAACTTTTCTTTGATTTCAAGGGTTTTTTGCAGGACAAATTAACATTTTCCTTTTTCTATTTAAATCAATACAAAAGAGTTTTTAAATGAAGTGCTAAATTTTCAATTTTCCCATTTATCACTTCGCAATAAACCAAAATTTCCACAAATGACAATTTGTTGCGAAGAAAACAAAAACAAACAAATATTTTTTTTGCTAAAAAGAAAAAAACTGAGTGTTTTTTATCTTTAACTTTTCATGCCACGAAAATAATTCAATTAATTTATGATTAAAATTTTCAGAATCAAAATCTGAAAAAAATTTGTTGCAGAATTATTCAATCATTTGAGCATTTGAAAACTTGAAATTATTATAATTTCGCAATTAACTCCTAATACTTTAATTTTTGCTTCTGTTTCTTACGAAATGTTAAAAATAATTGTTTTAAGGCTTTGAAGTAATATATTTAATAGGCTTATCTTGAGAAAACAATTTTGAGACAATATAATGCTTAAATTATTCAAAATAAATTGCCAAATTCGAAAGTATTTCATTTAGATATTTTGTTTTCATTTTTTTAGATCTAAAATGTACTTAAAGAACAAAAAAAGTGATAAAATTGGATATAAAACAGTGGTATTATTTGTTTTTTCTCGAACATTTCAACCTTAAGCTTTAGGCAACATCGCCTTCCTATTATTTTTCACCATAAATATTAATTTTGAAAATTTTTAAATTTTAAGCAGCTCTTAAAAATTAACAGCTTTCAATTTTTTCAAAAAAAAGTTAAAATTTCACTAAACAATTATCATTGTCGTTTTATTTAAATAAATGCATCCATATATTATTTAACCTCACAAAATTTATGAAACATATTCTACAGCGCCGTATTTTACTTTATGATAACTCATTCCTTCAGTAATCATTTTTTATGAATGAATCAAAATCTTTCAAAGGACATGCATATATATGCTTGGCATTTGGTTATTTGTGTGGAAAGGACGATTCGTTTTTACATTTGACGGATTTCATGTATTTGCGTCATTGCAATCATTAATCTATCTTACTATTGTTTTTCTTGCTTTTTCTTTTAAATTATCCATTAATTTCACATCTGTGCAAGTCACTTGATGAAATTTTAATATTTTAAAAATTATCCATTACTCCATACCTGTGCGAACAATTGTTCATTTATCAATTGTGAAATTTCAGTTACATCTTTAGATTGTTATACTTTTTTATAAAATGAAAATTAACTTCATAATTTCACCTTGAACTAATAATGAAGATAAAATATTTATTTAAGAATTGCAAAGATAAATAAAAATGTTAGTAAATAGTAGAAAGGATGCAAAAAAATAAGAAGGTGCTTGGACATTTCAGATTTCAGGTTAACTGATAAAAAGCAAGTAAATGTTGAAATTTTTCCTAGTGCAATATTATAATATTCGTTGTTTTCTAATAATAGAAGATCATTAAATAATATTGTTGGGATGGTTCAAACTGAAATGCATAAGGTAGCTGACAGTTATTTTATTTTTTTGAATAAGCTGCTTAATTTAATTCATAATTAACTTAGCTATGCTTACAGATACATTTGATCAAAATCTCGAAGTTGATAGTGTTAGATCTACACAAAAATACAAAATTTTAAATGTAAAATTTTCCATATTTTTTATTCATATTCAGAAATTATTATAATAATGAGGAGAATTTCAGTCATTGCTTCTGGTCGTTTCCACAACTGTCCACTTTATTAAACATTAATTACCATTCACTAATTGGAGACAGAATTATGAATTTGTATGAATTAAATTATGTTCAACATTTCGTGATATTTCAATAAGCTATCAGCATTTATCTTCCCAATTCTGCTTGTTCAGAGTTTTGATTGGCCTCAAATTCAGACAATCTTTTTCCAAAACGAATGTAATCATATGTTGCTGGACTGGATCTTCCGCCGCGACCAAATCGAATGAAATCGTAATATGTTCGCTTTGCTGTAAAATACATTATGATAATGAAATTAACTTTTTAATTACTTCAATGTAATTTGAGGAATCGAATGTTGAGATCTTTCCTGAAAGTGTCGAATGTTACTTTCAAGAAATATTTTAAATGCACCTTTTGTTGCTACAACATAATATTTCGACGGTATTCCAAAAAAATTTCTTGAGAGAAGTCTGAAGAGTTGATTGATTCACGCATAATAACACAAGCATTAAAATTTTTATTGCAATGCCGAAGCATTTCGTTCAAGTTTTTGATTTTTTTCAATTTCAAAATCCTTAAAAAATTCAGAAAAAAATCTTTAGAAAAGTCTTTGTTGAAATTTATGATTGTTAACATTTTGAGGTTTGGTATGGACAAATTTAGAAAAAAAATAAGGTTAGTATTTTAGAATTTTAGATCTTTACTTTTGTAAGAATTAAAGATCTAAAATTCTAAATTTTAATTTCTTACAAAAATTGTGTGAGCAATGTTAACAAATTTTGATGATCTTACTTTGAAATTACTTTTATTTTGGCTAAAAAAATATGAAAATGCTTCATACATAAGAACCAACACATTCTTATCTGATTTTATGTAAAATCTTTTATCAACCAGAAAAGAGGATTCAATTTTAAAAACCTGCAAATTTTGGAAGTTGACTCAAAAAAATGTTTCAAAATTTTGAGATTTTTAAAATTAAATTCCTTGACTAACGCAAAAATTTTTTGATAAATATTTGAAAAAAGAAAATTAGAAATAAACCTGAATGTGGTTCAGATTGATACTGTGAACGTGCAGGATAATGCTGACAGAACCGTTCATAGGTTATTGCATTAGCAATCGAACATTGTGTTACAACACAAAACAGAATTGCAAATATTACTATTAGCATGTTTTCCCGGTGACCATTCATGGAATTCGATTTTAGTCTAAAATTGATAAAATTTAAATAATTTATTTTTTGTTTTTTCTCCACAAATATCATTTAAAATTTTATAAATCTATTTACTAACATTGGTATAAAAGATTGTTTAAATTATTAGAGTAAGACATACTTCATAAAACATACAAAGCGATCAGTATGTTTAATTATTTAAACTTTTTTAAATCATTGTTACAAGAAAACAATCAAAATTTATACTTTTAGATGATCGGACTATAACAGATGACAACTTTTCAATATGATTTAAAACTTATTACACTTATAATAGTGTAAGCTTGGGAAAAAAGGTAGTAGATAATAGGCTTGTAATTGCTAATAAGCTAAAGCATTTCTTGCAATATCTTATGCAAATTTTATTAAATTTTTTTGAAAGAAAATATAGCGTTTTACATCTTCCTAATCATATATTTCTTTTTTATTCTACTATAAAATGTAAATTATGAAAAGAAATATGCATAAAAAATAAAATAAAATACACCTGGAATGAAAGAAAAGAAAAGAAAAGTATGAAGGACGAAAAAAATGTTACAAAACACATTGAATATTTTAACTAATCATAAACCTTTGAAGAATTAAAATATAAAAGATATTTTAAATAGAAGCTTATCTAACAAAAACGGTTCATTTTATTTCGAATTTATCACCTGTCTTCACTTTCCGTTTTTTCTCCATATTATGTCTGCTAATTTACATAATTACTTTCAAAAAAAAAAATTCATCTAATATATTTTGTGCTGCCAGTAATCGCATTTGCTTCATGTTAAAGTTTTTCTTTTCTTTTAGATCCATTTATCATTTGTTTTTCTTTGTTTCTGCTTTCTGCCCCTCTCTCTCTCCCTAACAATCATTTATCATTAAATTGGAAATAAAAAATCATTATGAAGGAAAGGAAATGTAGTTCATAATCTCCCATAATTGCTATCAATAGCATGCCTTTTCACTGCAAACAACGCATTTAAATGCGATGAAAGTTATTCATTCATTTGTAAAAAATGTATCGCACATAATAATTATGATCAGAAAGCAATTTCGTTTCATTATTCAGAAGAAAAAAGGTGATTTAACAGGTATAATAGAATAATGTTTTAATGAGTAATTAATAAATGATCATAGCTTGAATAAATGATTGATTATAGGAATATTAAACTGATCAGAATATTCTGAATGTGAATTTTCATATAAATAATCATTTTAAACTGTTGTGAATTAAAATTATACTAATTAAGTCTTTAATTTTTTTTGTGAATTTTGAATTTGACCATTTTATTGCTTTGTGAAAACAATCTCAGTGCTGAGAAATAAGCATTTGTATAATTTTTAAGGAATTGAGAAAGAACACTTAAATTTTAGACCAATTAATTTAAGTTTATTCTTGGTTGTCCAGAATTAAGCGAACTTATTCAACTGATAATTTCGTCTATTGGCAATTTTTATTGGTAATTAATTTTCATAATGTAGGATATTCCAAAGATATCAAAATTTGTAATTTTATTTTTAAAGTGAAATTATCAGTAAAACAAAATGATCGCAAATTAAGAGATTACAATCCTGGCAATATCGTTCAGACTCTTCAGAGACGTAAGAAATATGTGATATCGTATGAGATAACAATAATGCAATACAAAATATCCTTTTATTGGATATCGTCCAACAAATAATTAAGAATATTTATTTTCAAACAATTTAATCATTCAATTTTGCTTTTCAAAATTGTAATAGAAATAGTAAAATAATCTTAATTAACATTCAATATTGATAATAAAGTTTATTTATGTTGTCATTTTGGAGAGATAAAATCAATATAGCAATAAAGTTTTATTCATCCAATTATTGTACTATTTTACATTTAGTAGTACATATATTTTTACGCAAAACGAATACTTTGTTGAAAAATAGGATTAAATCACACGTATATGTAAAACAAATAAATTTAAAAAATTATTAATGTAAAATCAAGTTAAACAGAAACGGTTTTAGCAAATAAATCTTCAATAAAATCGATGATAATCTAACTTACACCTAATCGGGTATCGTACATATCAAATTTGTATTTGCAAAAAATAATTTTTGAAAAAAAAATTGGGAATGTGTGGGAACTGCAATAAATGATTTAAAATGTGTTGCAAATGAAATTATGCAATTCTGAAAATTGCAACCGAAGCACACTGTGATAAAAAAACGTTTATTGTGGCTTAAATACTATGGTTATTATATCAGGTCATCTACTGAGGTATCAGTTGCGGTTGTTTGCATCGCATCGTTCAGTAGTACACCTGCAAACAATAAACACTGCAAATGAATATGCACTAATATCATCAACCACTAGCAGCATTTCAATTCAAACAAACTTGTAATTAAAAACTTAACAAATTAAAAGATGAAATAATGAAATAGCCCTTCTATTCTAATATAGTGTATAATATAAAATGAAAAGGCTGATTAAAATTTTCAAAACATTTCATGTGGGAAATGAAATTCAATTTTGAAATTTAGCAAAATCGGTAACTGCAAACATTTCTTTAACACTGCTAACAGTGAAAAACTGAAAGTTGACATCATTACCACTCGCATAATCTCTCAATGATCCATTTGTTGAAATTATACCGAGAATATTTCATCATATAGGACTATCAGAAATCTCTGTCTGACCTACTCGCAACAAAATGGCATCAAATCTCAAGAGAATACTGTGGGTTGTTGCTCAGGCTTACAAATGTCTTAGGATGCATTCGAGAGAGAAATTGGAAAAAAGAAAAAGAAAACTAACTGAAACGTCTAACACAAGTAAATCCATTGAGTTGAGCACCTGGCAAACACCTGCATATACCTAATTCACAAATTGACAAGCCTTCGTTGGAACTCATACACTGCTGCGTAAATTCACATAAACCACCTATTGGCCTTAGTGCTGCAATATATTTTCACTTTTAAATTCTGTTTTTCAACTTTAAAAAAAGCCGCAGAAAAATTAAAGTTGAAAAAGTGAATTAATCATTTGTATCAGACAAGGTTGTTGTAAAATTCAAAAAAATTTAAATTGAAAGAAATGAGGGTAGGTGATGTTGTATGTTAAAAACAAGTCTGTTAACTTAATAGCTAATTGTTAATTTCAAATTTAAAAAAATTTTTTTTGAGAGATGTCAATAATTTAATTTAGAATATTCAATAAAGATTATTGCTACTATTTGGAAGTAAAATGAGAAAAAGTTTAATGCCGATAGAAAGATATTGCACTAATCCTTTTTCAATTCTTTTTTTCATTCTCCAAATAATATTTCCTCCTAGTGACAAGCGTTGAACACGAATCGAAAAAAATTCAATTTTTTTTTGAATTTTGAAAAATATGGAATTTAAGAGATTATAGAGCAAATGTAAATGAATTCTACTTGTTGGCGAAAGTGGGAGCATCATATTGCTGTATTGCAGAAGACAGCAAACATTGTTGTAGCACTGATAATTGTACCCACATTGACCATTTATACAGGCACTTATAGGTCTGGTATGATCCGGACACAATCTAATTCCTGGAGATATGCTTCTGATAAAACTTTGTATAAAATTTAATTTTTATTTAAATTTCATAAATTTTTTTTTGAATGCTTTCAAAATTATTGGATTGTTTCTAAAGTTAAAAGTGATCAACGTTTTCTAAAATTTATTTTAAGAATTTACCAGAAGAAGTAGGCCATGAATAGAAATCAGTATGTCGTTCAGAAAGAAATGGTGTTTGTACTGGATTATACATTCGTGCTTTTAAGGTACAGCAAGAACCGAAAATCAAGATAGTTCCTGCTGGACATGCTCCATCTACTGGAGAACTAAATATCGTTCCTCGACCATCGCACTCCTTGAAGCATAACGGAGATGCACCTTCTTTGAAGCATCTATTACCAGCTGGACACTGGTCACCTGTAATAAATATGAAAGCATTAAGAGCAAATACTACAAGATCCATTCACACTGATAGAGCGACGATATTAAATTTAGATTTCAATAAACACATTTACACATAATGAGTTCGATGATCATTACTGATGATTAGATATTAATGATTATATGTGAAGTGATTGACTTATTGACGTGCGTTTCTTAATTGACATCAAGCTGACGCTTAATTATACGGTATAACAAGTTGTCTAAGCTGCAAATTAAATTATCTTCTCATTTATAATTTAAGTTAAATTCGCATTTTCTTTAAATTTAATATTTTGGAAAATAACCTGGCTCAATGCACGGACCAATAGGATCCGTTACCGGACAGCAAGAATTTATTGTCGTATCGCATTGAAAACCACCATCTGGACATTGGCCAGCAACACATGGTCCAAGAGCATAATTAAGATTGGAGCAACGGAAAGTTGTATTATCAGTTTGTGGACAACATTGACCATTTATACATATGTGACCAGTTGGACATAAGCCATTGATGCAAGTGCCGATCGATGCAGCATTATTTGGACATGTCCCTAGAACGTTAATTTTTGAAAATTAATAAAGCAAGAAATAAGCTGAAATTTTATTGTTAAATTAGATAAATTTTAATAAATTTAATCGGATTATTTGATAATATCTGTGCATGATTGCAAGTTTGCTAACAATTTTGAATTAAAATTTAATATACCAGGAATGATATTAGCGATGGTGTTTGTCAAACAGCACAAATTTCCGGTAGTGCAAACAAAACCTGCACCGCAATGTCCAAAGATACATGCACCAGCAGATGGTGAACCATCAAGACATCGAGGTGTGTTATTTGTTATATTACAGCACAAACCTAAAATTGACAATGAGATGACGCAGTATAATATTAATCTATTCCAACTTATGCTTCATTACTGATCTTTTGCCAGTCAATTAAGTATCTTTCGGCTTTTATACATGTAAAATCTACAGAATAACACACTAAATTATTCAGGAATTGGTTAAAACAATGCTAGGAATCCTACATATCAATTTCTAGTTTTAAGTTTTAATACGACTTCACAGTTTCCCCCTCACAATGGTGATTGATTTTTCTCAGTTTGACTTTAATTATAAATGTTCGCGCAAATAAATGATATGAAACAATATGATGGCTAAAAGAATCAAATTATTTTTATTGACATTTGAAAACAAAAATTATAATGGCTTTAGATAATATTATTGCTAACATTTTTTATCGATAAATTTTGTTCTTCCATAAATCTATTTTTCCTTTACAACGTTCAATTTGTTCAGACTAGGGAAAGTGATGTGACCATGCGAGATGCATATAAAAACCAAATTATATCGGTCCTAAGCTAAGCTAATTAGGCTTATTTTATCATCAACAAAAGGGTGGAATACAAAAAACAGTTCATACCATTTATGCATGTAAATGACGAACCGCATTGGCCAAGAATACAAGCTCCTGCTGCTTGGGTTCCGTCTGTACAAACTGAAATTTCTTTTTTCCAACAAAATAATTCGTCACTTTTTTCTCAAATTGCAATCAGTAATGAAAATATCGGCAATTGCAATTCGAAGAAAAGAATTGCTGGAAGGATGGAAAACAAAATTTTGGCATACTTCAACGGAACCTGCACTTTGAATTTTACATTCATCGTTTTTTCTTTAATCCTCTAAAAAATCGAAAGTAAACGCCACAGAGATTATCATTTTCCTCATTTCGTGTTAATTGTTAGGCAAATATTTGCAAAGTTAGTTAAAAATCGCTGTATTGTGTGACAAACAATAGTCGGATAAATGAAAGTTATCTGTTCACGCAAAAAATCGTCAAACCCAATCTGTGAATATTTGATTGGAAGTGAGATGGTATGTGTCTAATCGCTCCTTTTTGTTACCTTTAAAATTTTTTTCAGCTATCCGATTATGTGTCACGCCAAAGACGTGAAATCAACGGTTGAACGTTTATTTTCACGTATATTTCTTCACGTTAACGTTACATATCACAAGGAAAAGTGACTGAACATACGAAATGGATTCTTTATTGGATTAGCAGTGCTACTTATCACTGTCCCATAATCATTTGATGGGCAGCAGATGTTACCCGGTGAACAAAAATATCCACGAGCACAACGCATATTAATACACGTTCCAACCGGTGATCCGCCATTTGCACATCCACCTATTGAAATTTCTTGATTTAAGCTTAAACTTTCTTTTTCAGTTTAAATAGACACTCAAATTGAAGGAGTATTGAAATTTTGAAGCTGATGAAAGCTACGAATTAAAAAAAATTCATTCTAAATTTCATAGCAAAAGCAATTTTTCTTTTTCATTAGTAAACTAAAATATATGAAATATTGGGAACATTGCGAATTTCATTTAAGTTAATGAATTTTATAAAAACTTACTAAAAGTGATAGGATTATATGCTGGGTGCATTTGATTATATATTGAAAATGGAAATTGATTGGTATAAAGTGGTTGTTGATGATTTGGTGACAGAATAGCATAGGGATGGTTTGTAAAAGAGGCACCTTAATTGATATTTGACTGATTTGCATTAAACAATTGAAATTTGCAATAATCAACAATATCAGCTGTCGTTCATTAAACAGCTTGATAGGACTGTATCAGATGACTTTACGTAAACGATATTCAGTAAATAATTTCCTCATACTTTTCACTGAACAGCATTGTTAGTGATTCGTATCACATCATTAAAATGGTAAATATTTAGTGCTTTTTTTCTGATTAATCACACATAGTTGAAAGAAAATTTTTGTTTCAATCTGTTACATCTCCAAATTGTACTTTTGGGAAATTTTTAAAAATTCTAAAAAGTTTTTAAACTTGATTGAAAGCTATAACTAACGTATATTGGTTAGACTTAAGTTAAAGAGATCAAGTCATATTTATCAGAGATTCATTTGAATTTGATATGAAATGCAGAAAATGTTTAAATTACTATAACATTCAAATGTATTCACATTTTAATTATTCATCTTCGAAGACTCAGCATCTGAATTAAAATACTAGCAGAAAGAAGTATACTTACCAGTCGATGCAATACAGCAATAGCCATTATTGCAAGTTCCACGATGACACGGATTGTTCTGAGAACACTGCGTAAATGTGCATGCGATACCGCCCAACGAACTTGGCGCTGATTGTGCATAATAACCTAAATCAATGATATTCATACTCGCTACTTATATTCATATAATCGAGGTAAATCATAATAAAATCGTAATTCATTTTCGTTCGCGATAATTAGTCAATAGCATTCTTGTTTTTTTAATTCACTCTGTATTTCGTAAAAATTTTTTCGAAATATTTCCAAATTTCTTTGGAAGATTTCAACTGATATCGTTGAAATCTTCCAATGAAATTTGGATCGATATACAACGGTGAGAGAATAATTTAATATCTATTATGGTTTAGTCAGACATAATCCAACAATCAATCTTATCATACACATCATTCTTAAGCCGATATCGATTTTAGATAGGAATCAGAAGTGATGAAATATAATGCCTCCTATGAAGTAAAAATTAACTTTCCCTCTGATCATCTCATCAATCGAGAAACTTTTCATATGATAGCAAAAGAGTATTCATGTAAAAGAATTGTTCCCTTTTTGAGAAGATAAATACAACAACAGAAGAAAGCAAAAATTATGACAGACAGATTATTAACATATCACTATCGAAAATATTCCAATTATCAGAACTTCGACAGGTCCTCTCAGTTAAAGTTAAATTTCGTTGAAATGTAATCCAAGAGAACTTTATTACAAATTTCAAAAATTCAGAAATAGAAACATTTTTTTCTTCATTCAGTACATTAGCTGATGGCTATGCCTTACACTCTTTGGCCTTTTCGTTTTCTGTTATGAATTATAATGAACTGAAAGAAATGTATTCTTCTGGAAAATGTGCTTTTATAGGTGCATTCTTCTGCAAAAATATCCTTCCGAAAATTCTCATTTCCCATTTCATTGACTTTTGAGGAATTTTTGCTGTTCATTTAGGAACATTTGTCAGACTCGGCCATTGTTTGAATTAGATTCGCCGTAATCGATTCAGTTGTCCGGAATTCATTAAAGTAGAATTCATATCTATGCAATCACCAACAAGAAAAATTTCATCGATTTTTCTTTTCAAGTTACTTTCTGAATCGTGATAAGCATGTGTTAATTTGTAAATTATCGTCAAATTGATAATTAGATCTCGAATTATTAATCGGATTGGACATTTTTAAGTCAGCCAAGGGCTCTTTTGAAAATAGCAACTCTTTTATTCGAGCATATCATTCTCTCTTTTTTCTCTGCTTACATTTTTACTTTTATTCTTCTCCTCTATAGTTTTTATCAATTTTACTAATCTTTCTTCAAAGTTAGATTCTAGAATCCCATTTGTCTTCCTGCTCAACAGTGCTGAACGGTATTTCAAAACAAACAGTAATTGATCGAAATAACTGACCGTGGAAACAATAAGTGGACATTACTGTATACTCATAAGCTTAATGTCCATTTCTTGTAAAAAGCACTTCAATGCTGTGCTTCCCTTTCATTCCGTTCCTTAACAATCCCATTGACTTCTCATTTCGTTTACCGAAAAGCTCTCCTTTGCTGCTACAATCTCTGTCGTGATGAACAGATTCCACATATTTACGCTCATTCTTTCATCAATTTCCATTTGAATTGACGAAAAAAATTCACCAAAAACTGGTCCGTTTTTCCTTTTAACCAAATTATTCAAACAACGATTTTGAGAATGTGAAATAATTGTTATTTGTTGATTACATTACAACATCGAATGTCGTTTCGAAATTTCCGGGATTGCAACTTTTTGCTACCGGTATACTTCTTTCTCCATTAATGATCATTGAAAAAAGAATGATTACTCGAAATGGTGGAAGATGACAAAGAAGAAATATAATTCGTGCATTATCCTTTATAGAGACAATAATCAGGCTGGGAATAATTTCCACAAATTCTAACAAATCCCAAATATTTGATTTGCCTTTACAATTCCAAAATGCTCCAGGATTTAAACCCAGACACAATAAATACTGAGGGATAGCTTCGAGAACTTACTACTATTAAATTAGATAATAGCATTGAGTAACTTTGAAAGATAATTTCTAAAGTGACATCTTTTATATTTGATAATATCACATTAAAAATCTTTGGCAATGAAAGTAATGCCTTTTACTAACAAATTAACTGGTGGAAGAATTAAAATAAATATTTGAAATTTTGACTCCATTCATGGTTTTTTTGCATTCCGTGAATAGCATATAGTCAAGAGAAAAGGTGCTGAAATTTCTGATAAATCTTATCTACCTGATAACAGCTTTTAGCCATTGTTTATTTGTATTTAAAAATTTTTAATTTATATTTCTTAGAAAGATAAATTAATTAGAACAATAAAAGAAGAAATTTCTTTGAGATTATTACAAAGTTTTTGTTATTTTTGGAGCATCGATGTGTTCATGAGAATCGCGTGCTTTTTTTGGTGATTGAATGAAATGATATGGTAATTAACTACGTAAGTATCATCCCATAAACTTGTAAAGTTGAAAAGTAAGAAAAATAAAATTAATAAGTATGTATTAATTTGGATGAATTAACCAATGCATAACAAAAACAGCTGACTTCAGAAAGTGACTTCGTGCAAACTTACGTGTTCCAAGACGACTTTGCTTGAGTGCGCTCATATTTGATAGAATGCAGGTCTGATGGTCGAAACTGAACATTTGTCCATCCAAACAGGATTTCTTCATCCATTGATTGCTGCTAATATGTTGCAAATGGTTATTATTAAAGTTTAATACAAAGGAATTTTTTTGGTTTGAAATTTATCTAAATTTTTTTAATGATTTTTTACAAAAACATTCGAACTTTTTCAAATATTTCATTAATTTTTCATTTTGATTATGCATTATGTTTGTGTACAGTATTTAAACTTCCTCCTTCCCTAATCAAATAATAAATGAGGAATGACGAACTCTCGGGAACAAGGATTGAGATAGCTCAAAATTAATGATCATGCAAAATTTTTGTAACCTAAAAATACCATTTATAATATCAAACAGAATTTCTGCGAAATTTGAGAAAAAAATGGTTACGTTTGATCGCATTGCAAATAATTTGATGACAGTTGTCCCTGTTCCCGCTGTAAGCATATCGGTGACACCAAGCACGGATCTCCATCCCTTGCACTTTTATCTTCCACTGAAGAATAAAATTATTGACAAAATCATTGCTGCAAAAATTCAAAAAAGAATTAAAACTGTACTCCAATATATCGTATTTCGTATTAATTCATTAATTTTACAAAAGTAGTCCATATAATTATGGGTAGCTGCAAAAAAAATAATATTGAAAACTTTGGAGCGCTGAAAATAAATTCTGAATTTATTTTACCACAGATAATATTGTCTGATTTGAATGACTGTTGTGATTGTTGTTTATTATCGATTGATAATGCAGTAGCTATAGTTGCTGGAGAACTTGTTTGAGCTATTGTTGATGCTGTAGTTGATAAAATGCGGCTTTTTACTACCCAAACTCCTTTACCAGTTTCTGACCTATATTAATTTTACTTATTTCCTGTTAATTACATTATTTCAGGAAAAAATCGAATTTATTGTAATATTCGCTGTTTTTATTGCAATTTTATTATATTTCTTTGCCGTAATTAATTAATTAAATGCTGTTGAAAGTTTCAAAAATCCATTTCATCCAATTTTACCGGAAATATGATAAAATTGAACGCTTAGATTAACTTCCTTAAAAATATTGTCATTTTTCAATAGTCCAACTTGATTGATAATTGTTATTGAACTAATAATATGTCCACGCGATAATCCTCTTCAATCCATTAGCTTTTCATATAGAAACAAATTATTGGCTTCAGATTAACTTTTAATTTCAATTAATTACTGAATCTATTCCATTGCTAATAATAAAATTACTTACTGTAAACTTTGCTCGCATTTCAGGAAAAATTGTGTTTCTTTCCCACCAATTGGTACATCCGCACTGTTAATATCACACTTACCACCGATAATTGGAGTTAACTGTTGCGCATAAAGCACGTGGAATAGGTTGATAATGATAAAAATTAGAAGGCTAAAATGAATCGAGCCGGATTCCATCGTTAACCGCTTAAAATAGGTTGACAAAGTTAAACAGTAGCTTTGTAAAGTTCAACAATGCTAACTACACTTCCGATCAATACAGCACTACTGTTCCGTCCAAAATCGCTTATGGTTAAATATTTGTAGGCACTGACCGATTGCCTCAACTGACCAATTGGTAAACTTGTTTGTACTAAACTCGTCGTGAACCGAAAATGCAAATAGCTCTGCTCGTTTCTGTTTACCGACAACTTATCTATCCTCCTTCTGCACGACGGTTTCCTCAAATAGTATCGATAAAGATTCAACAATTTTATTCTTCTCAACTCCCCTGTCTCTATCTTTTTCGATCTCTACAACCTCTTTCTTAAATATTGTTCTATCCCTTAGAACAATATTTCTTCCCTCCTCTCACTCTTTTCCGGTTGATAATTCTACCATTTCTGTGAATTACAAAGTCATTAGAGCTTTATTTATAATTGTGCCTTCAAAATTTGCTTCTGAAAATTTGAAATGACCCAATTATGCAAACGCTATGAAACGATTAATTGAATAAATAAATAAATATATGAGGAATTTAAATCGAAAAAATGGTCGAAAACACTGATTACCACTGGGCGAATCGGTAGCAATCCTCTCTCTGTACTGTCGATAGTAGTAAACAGTCGCGGTACAACGGTGATAAAAGGTGGGAAGGTGACCTCGAAGGCGTCTGGCGGTAAATCTTCGATATCATGACGGTCCAGCGAAATGAGTGGTCTGAAATTTGTGGGATCTGTGGAAAGGCTGATGTGTGCTCTCAAAATATAATTTTCAACTGACATGTGTGGTGTTGTTGGGCTTCTCGTCCATTCTGCTTCACCCTTAACACTTCCGGAACTGTGCTCGCCAGGTTTCATTTCCGATTGGATATGGGATGAAGGTGGTGACTCGATAAGTACCGGGTGAATTATCTGAGGTCCGGGAATTTCGACAAGTTCATCGGTCGACTCATCCACCTCCGAAACCAAAGATCGGTGCCTTTGCTCCGATATCGCTGTCTCCCTCACTGCAAATTTTCCTTCTAGACAATTAGCAATGATTATTAACATAATTCTCTAATTGTTCGGAATTGTTTATAACAAATCTAATTAATCACAAAGTCAAAATTAACTCTATTAGTAATTTGGCACCATTGTGATTTTGAAATCTGAAATCAATTACATTTTGGTGACATGACAGTTATCGAATCACTCGTGACCTCGTACTGTTCACAATATGGAGGTTGAAGATTTGGTCGAAGGCACATCTGTACGTCGTTGGAATCAATTCGATACA